TTTCAGATGTCAAACATTCAGAAATGTGAATTCGAGGCCCTTCACGTCTCCGGGGATAACTACCTCGAGTGGGCCCTAGACATGCGCTTGTTCCTTGCATCGAAAGAACTCGATGCGTGTATTACCGACGGTAACACCGCATCCCGTAAGGGACAGTCTCAGGCGATATGTCACATACGCCATCATCTGGCCCCGAGCCTTAAGCAGCAATATCTCACTCTTGAGAATCCACTTGAATTGTGGCAAGCGCTGAAAAAGCGATATGACCATCAGAAAATGGTCCAGTTGCCTCAGGCAGATTTCGACTGGAAGAACCTTCGGTTCCAGGACTACAAATCCGTAGATGATTAACAACGAACTCTTTCGTATTGTTGCCATCCGGAAACTCTGTGGCGAGGATGTGACAGATAATGATCTCCTCGAGAAAACATTATCCACATTCAGCACAGAGAATGTTGTGCTTCAACAACAATACCGTGCAATGAAACACACATTGTACGAAAACTTGTTGTCTTGTCTTCTCCTCGCTGAGAAGAATAACCAGCTGCTTATGAGGAACAGCGCTATGAGGCCCCCGGGATCGACTCCTGTCCCAGCTTCTCGTCAAGAGTCCTACCATGTTCAACCCGATAGATCCTCAGATCACCGCCGTGGACGTGGTAATGGACGTGGTAATGGCCGAGGACATGGACGTGGAAGACGTGGACGCGGACATGGTCGTGGCAACCGACCTAACCTCAGTTATGGTCCTGGTCGTGGTCGAGGCATCACCAAGCCGACCCGCCACACCAACCCCGATCACTCTGCTTGTACCAGATGTGGGATGTTCAACCACCCAACAAAGCAATGTCGCACCCCCAAGATCCACTGCGATCTATACCAGAAGTACGGAAAAGCTCCTGCTGAAGCCAACATGACTCAGCCAGTCGATGCTGCTAACCTGGAAGGTGACGACCTCCTTGATGATGAGAACACCACAAACGAGCAGACCGACCCCATGGACTATGAAACAGCTGATCTCCTCGATTAATTCAATCATCTGAAACTCTGATACAATTTGATTTTGTTCTTTATTTTTTTCATTTTGGGATTTGTTTCATTTTTTTTTTTTCCATTTGCCTTTATTCTCAGACACTGCTTTACTTTATGATTTATCACATTTTCTGAATTCCTCAATACTGAATTCTATCTTCTATTCATAATGAAGCACACCAGCAAATGGAAACCATAGTCGTAGATAGTGGATCCAGCCACACTATCTTAAGAAACAAAAGTTACTTCATAAACCTAACCTATCAAACCGCAAATATTAGCACCATCGCGGGTCCCTCAAACCTTATCGAAGGATATGGCCATGCCTATGTGTTGCTATCAAATGGCACACAACTTGAAATACCAGATGCTCTATATTCTCCTAGTTCGAAGAGAAATCTTCTGAGCTTCAAGGATATAAGACAGAATGGTTTCCACATAGAAACCCAAGGTCAAGGGAACAAAGAATCCCTCCTAGTCACTAAAACCGTAGACGGCCATAAACAAATCCTCGAAACCATACCCGCGCTCTCTACTGGACTTTACCATGCTAAAGTCAGTATGATTGAAGCTAAGACCACTCTCAAAGCCCGGTTTACTGATTATACTATTTGGCACGACCGGCTCGGTCATCCCGGTGCAAATATGATGCGTAAACTAATTCAAAACTCTCAAGGGCATACCCTCAAAGAAAACCGAGCTTATCCTAACCACCTCATGTGCACAGCTTGTTCTCAAGGCAAATTGATCACTCGGCCTTCACCAGTTAAAATCTCTAAACAAACACTTCATTTCCTAGAAAGAATCCAGGGCGATATCTGTGGACCTATACATCCATCTTCCGGACCATTCCGGTACTTCATGGTCCTTATAGACGCATCGACCCGTTGGTCATATGTTTGTCTCTTGTCCTCTCGGAACCAAGCCTTCGCTAGGTTCTTGGCCCAAATCATAAAATTGCGGGCCCATTTCCCTGACTTCCCACTAAAGTCTATCCGCCTTGACAATGCTGGTGAATTTACCTCACAAGCGTTTAATGACTACTGTATGGCCATGGGGGTAACCGTGAAACATCCTGTAGCACATGTCCATACTCAAAATGGATTGGCTGAATCATTCATTAAACGCATTCAATGGATAGCCCGACCATTACTCATGAGATCAAAGCTCCCGGCCTCAGCATGGGGACATGCAGTATTACATGCTGCTGAACTCATACGCATCCAGCCATCTAGTGAACACAAATATTCCCCATCCCAACTACTCTCGGGTCATGAGCCAGACATCTCCCATCTCAAAACATTTGGGTGTTCAGTATATGTACCCATTGCTCCACCACATTGAACCAAAATGGGACCTCAAAGAAGGATGGGAATATATGTTGGTTTTGACTCTCCCACCATCATAAGATATCTCGAGCCAACCACTGGAGATCTCTTCAAGGCCAGATATGCGGATTGCCAATTCGATGAATCGGTATATCCCTCTTTAGGTGGTGAGACAAACAAGCTGGTCAAAGATCTTTCATGGAATCAAACATCATTAAATTGGCAAGATCCACGGACTCTAGAATGTGATTCAGAGATCCAAAAGATTATTCATTATCAAAAGCTAGCTAATCAATTGCCAGATTCCTTTGCTGACCCGACCAAAGTAACCAAATCGTACATCCCAGCTTGTAATGCACCAGTACGAATAGCTGTCCCAACGGGACAGACCCAAGTTGCTACAGAGTCTGCACCACGTCTCAAACGGGGCAGACCTCTCGGTTCCAAAGATAAGAATCCCCGGAAATCAAAGAAAGGTGCAATAACCGAAACCGGGATTCCTGCAATATCAGACATAGCCGCGGCTGAGACTCAATCTAATGAACCCTCAATGGAAGTTCGGGACGCCGAATCTCCAGGTTCAGAAGATAACAATGAGATCTCCATCAATTACAATATGTCCGGAATACAATGGAATCGAAAAGAAGTCGACTTAAATGCACTCTTTGCATACAAAGTAGCATTTGATGTTGCGCTCACGCAAGAGGATCTAGAACCCACGTCAATAACACAGTGTACACATCGAACAGATTGGCTAAAATGGAAAGAAGCCATAAACGTGGAGTTAAAGAGTCTCAAACTCAGAAACGTGTTCGGTCCGATCATCCGGACCCCATCACACATCAAGCCAGTGGGCCACAAATGGGTCTTTGTGCGCAAAAGGAACGAACTCGGTGAAGTCGTTCGATACAAAGCACGGCTTATAGCACAAGGATTCTCACAGAGACCCGGAATCGATTATGAGGAGACTTATTCTCCAGTGGTGGATGCAACAACATTCCGATTCCTCATAAGTCTGGCCATAAGAGAAAATCTTGATCTGCGGTTAATGGATGTTGTAACCGCATATCTCTATGGGCCCCTGGACAACGAAATATATATGAGACTCCCAGATGGCATTGAACTAAAAGACAAAAATGCATCTCGAGATCAATACTGCATCAGGCTGAACAAATCTTTGTATGGACTGAAACAAAGTGGGCGTATGTGGTACAACCGCCTCAGCGATTACCTCATCAAAGAAGGCTACAAAAATGACCCCATCAGTCCATGCATCTTCATCAAGAAGTACTCAAACAAAGGATTTGTAATCATAGCAGTATACGTGGATGATCTAAACATCCTCGGAACATCTGGTGAGATCTCCCAAACAGTCGACTGCTTAAAAGCAGAATTCGAAATGAAAAACCTAGGCAAAACAAAGTACTGTTTGGGATTACAACTTGAGTACATCAAAGGAGGAATCCTTGTGCATCAATCGGCTTATATCGAAAAGGTACTCAAGCGATTTAATATGGACCAAGCTCACCCATTGACCAGCCCAATGGTAGTTAGAAGCTTAAGTGATGACCCTCTTGGTCCCAAAAAGGATGATGAAGAAATCCTTGGTCCTGAAAAGCCATACCTCAGTGCTGTAGGAGCGTTAATGTACCTGGCTAGTCACACTAGACCAGACATATGTTTCGCCGTGAACCTCCTCGCTCGATATAGTTCATCTCCAACTCAGAGGCACTGGAACGGTATAAAACATCTCCTAAGATACCTTCGAGGTAATCAAGACTTAGGACTCTTCTATACTAACCAAAATAAAGATGGGTTAGTCGGCTTCGCCGATGCAGGATATCTATCAGATCCGCACACTGCCAAGTCTCAAACTGGCTACGTTTTTACGCATGGAGGAACAGCCATCTCTTGGAGATCAATGAAGCAGACACTCACTGCCACTTCATCAAACCATGCTGAAATCCTAGCCATTTATGAGGCTAGTAGGGAATGCGTCTGGCTGCGCTCCATGACTCAGCACATCCGCAGAGATTGTGGTATGGACGAAGACACACAGCCCACGGTGATGTATGAAGACAACGCGGCATGCATAGCTCAGCTCAAGGAAGGATATATCAAAGGAGATCGGACGAAGCACATTCTACCGAAGTTCTTCTCAACCTCAGACTGGTAGAAGGACGGCACTCTCAGCGTTCAGCAGGTCCGATCCAGTGAGAATTCAGCTGACCTCTTCACCAAATCATTGCCTACTTCAACACACCGGAAGCTCGTCAAACAGATAGGAATGTATAGACTTAGAGATCTGCAGTGATGCTACAATCAGGGGGAGTAATGCGTGTTGTACTCTTTTTTCTTCACCATGGTTTTATCCCATTGAGTTTTTTCTGATAAGGTTTTAATGAGGCAACATTCCCCAGCGCATTATCGAAATCCCGATTGAGTAGCTGACCCGGTTCACTCGTCCAAGGGGAAGTGTTATAACACATATCATATATGGACTCTTATACCGGCCCATTAGGCCCATCAGGGCATTGTACTTAACTTAAATTCCCTATATACTTTATATATACATTCCAGTGATTAATAAAGTTTCTAAGTTTTCACAACAAAAATATCTTAGTCAAATCAAAACATGCATTTATGAGTTTTCTAGAATTCAATTATTTTGGCCAAAACATTTATTAGTTTAGTAATCGTAATCTAATTACTGAATAAGTGAATAGTAGAACAAGAGACAAGAGAACGCATCGCCACCGTTAAAAACCAACCCAGATGGAGGAGATCAAACGGCAACTAGCAAGAAGAAAAAAAAAAATAATAACAAAAGTTGCGAATACAGCCAAAAAAAGAAACAGGCACGTGGCGAACGGATGACATCGTTTCTTCAACATCACCGGGCATGTCACTCCATCGTCGCGGTTCAACGGTGCTGGCTCCTAGTATCGTCGCTGTACAACCTGCGGATCACAAACGGTCAAAACATCGATCTTTAGATCTGATCTGAAACACTGATCATGATCACAAAGTCAAGACAAGAACAAGAATTTATAGTACGGACCAGTCGTAGACGGTAGGAGAGTTTGCGTGAGAGGGCTTGTCGAAGAGATCAGTGCCCATTCCTTTAGTGGCTGTGTTACTTCCTGGATTAAATACACTCCTCCACACGTTATCCTTACGCGCCGATACCGGCGTCGTCGGAGTTCCGGGACTTCCCGCCGCCGCTGGCCCAGCCTTGCTGCTGCTCCCTTCTCTTATACCTTTTCCAAGTTCACATAATTAATTATGGAACCATCATATATTATATATACATACATAAAAGCCTACGTAACGGAAGGTCCACAACATAAATATATGTATTAGACATGAGTTAATACAAGTATACAACGTCGACATATGTATGTATACCTTTGATGTCAATGGGATGGGCGGTGATCTTATTGCGGAGGCGGCCAAGGCCATGCTCTGGCTTAGGTCCAGCAAAAGTTTCATCCCACATCTTCCTTATTTGTTTCTTTTCTGCTTTGCTTTTTTTTTTTGTTTGTTGATCTCTTGTTGATATTTTAGTAGTGAGGGATGTCAAGTGTGATGTATTATTTTGAGGACTTCCTTCATCTTTTATAGACCCACAGGTTAAAACTATTTCATAAAATATCTTCTTTTTCACCCATGAAATATCTCCAATACATAAAAATAATTGACAATTGATTGGAATAATATTAAAAGGAAGTTTTGAGTATTTGCATAAAGTAGAGTTTATTTACACAGATAGCATACAAGTTTTCATTCTATCCATATAGTATATCTTACTACTTCCACACTAAGCCATTTACTCACCAGTAAAAAAATAGCCTTTATAGTAGCACATGCTTCTATGTAAAAAAGTGTTTGTTTTTGCGAGTTTGCAACTTACAGGGCGTCAATTTAGAATATAAACACACTATCCATGCATAATTAGGATGCGAATCGCCCATTTAAAATGCATAGTCCAATTTAAAAATGTATACAACCTGAGTAAGTAGTGAGGGAGTAGTGTGGAAATAGAAATATAAAATGAAGAAGATACAGGAGATGTGGATAGAGATGGAGATATGGATAAGGGCAAAGGAGTCATGAAGTGGGACCCTTAAATCATAAGTATCCTATATGGTTTTCGTGGAAAAGTATTATAGGAACAGCGGGAAGTGTTCTAGTATAATGTTATAGAAAATATCAAAGCAACTTCTTGTTTTATAGATTTAAAGGATCCGATCCTGAACTGAAGCAGTAAAAAATTTCAGCGGTTTGAAGCTGCAGTAGAAAAACATAAAAGCTAATCACTAACAAATCTGGATTTGTATGCAAACAAAGAAACAGAGTCAAGATGATCAAGAACGTACCTCAACATTATTCCGTTTCTTTCTCTTTTCTCCTTCATCTGCTTCCGAAGCAAACAAACAGACTAGTAACTATAATATAGCGCTAAGCTCATCTCTATCACATTATTCCATAAGAGTTACAATTAACGAAATATAATCAATTATCTTTCTAAGTGTGAAAAGCTGTTTTAAGCATAAACCAAGTTTTAAAGAGGTCTACATAGTATACACGATTCCTCCAGTTCCAACCTTCTTCCATTATTGGTAGAGGTTAAAGAATGGAGTTCTAAAAAAAATTAGGTGCTAAAGTCCTAACTGAGGAAAAGAAGGATGACATAATTTACAAGAATATCATCAACTTGCGCTCATGCCACCACCGATGTAAGTGGCGTTTGCTTTGATGATACTCTATGAGGGTTTACCGTACTTTTCGACGTACCCCTGCAAATGAACAAGAGGAATTCTCAGATTAATGCAACACCTACTTGTACTTAAGCTTTTGTACCTGCTTAAACAATGTGTAAGCAAGAAAACTCACCTCCACAAGTTTCACAATTTTGGGTGCAGACATACTTAGATATTGCTCCACCGATTCGGTCTCAGTCGGCACCTGGTGGAACTGGACAGCAGTGCTGACTATCTTTTCAGCAGATCTTTTAACTATCATGTTGTGCACATCTTTGGTAAGACGACCCTCACGCCACAATGGTTTCAACATTTCTTTAATGGTTTCCACAACTGCGGTCCGGAACTGTCTCGTCACTTTCGTTCCTGCGTCTGACGACCTCACTTCACCATCTATCTCATCTGATTTCAACATCTTCTGATGTGAAGAACCATCACTTCTATGCCAAGATTCATGCCCTGCAGGTTTGCTTCTTTTTAAAACCACTCTATTCTCTACAGCAGCCGAAGAAGAAATCTCTTTGCTAGGTGTTGTTGCATCATTTTGATCAACCACCGACGTAGCCACCCCTTCCACTACTCCATGTGCAACCAAATTCTTCCTCGCCACAGGTTCTTGGTATTGATTTTGACTGCATGAACTGTTTTTATCATCGTTATTGCAATCCCGTGCTTGCGGATCACTCGCAGAATCACCATCTTTCTGCTGGCGGGTATTTTTCCGGGCGTGTTTTCCTTTACTTGACGATGGAGCATTAAGAGATCTGTCTTCTGGATTCTCTATGAAAGGATCGTAGAGGGCATCAGACGAGGGAAGTATATAAGGTGGAATTGTGAAAGATGCTTTGAAAGGTTCAGAAGGTTCCCAATCATTTGAAGAAACTTTCTTCTCATAGCTAGTAGTGTTGCCTTCTTCTGCATCTTTAACGGATGAAACAGATGTCCCTTGCAGCGTTGGAAGTGATCCAGATCCATACATATTATTCCTGTTTTCAATATTCCTCAAGGTAGAAGCATACTGATTCATAGGAACAGAACTGAACGATGGAACTGTCCAGGCTGGTCCGGAAGACTCCATGTCTGTTTTTCTATAGGAAGTGATCAAAGATCTATTCTCTTGAACAAAGCTGCTTCGCAATGCAAAGGAATTGCTGTTATTATTAAATAGAGACCTGTTCCCAGTGACATCAGCACCACAATTCTGTAGACTCTCTCTTCCCATATTTTGTTGTGAAGGCATAAATCGCATCTCGTTATTGAACGGGAAAACTCTCTGAACACTCGGGGGATTCACCAAAGATATATCCCCTCTGGTATGCAAAGAGGTCACGCCATTGAGCGCCCTTACACCTTCTTTGCCGTCAAGTATTCTTCTTTCTGAATGAACACAAGTGAAATTAATTACTGGGTGATTCATGAAGAGCACTTAGTTAAACCCCCTAGAAGTATTCACCGACCTATATATGACTGGAATTGCCTCCACATAGTATCACTAATATCACAATCTCAAAAGAATGACTTTCTTATGGGACTACATACCTTCAACAGACTGGATACCACTGCTTCCAGCCATATTACTTGCCACCTGTTGTGGACTCGTGTGATTCGAAATCTCGTTCACGTGAACAAACTTGCAGAAGTTCCCCTTGTTACACCAGCCTTTAACAAAAAACTTGCAGACAAGAGCTGCACGTTTTTGTTCTGGTTCATTCCCTGACGGAAAGCTTTGCGCCGCCGTTATACCGGGAGCAGGAAATCTAAGAACCGAGAATCGATCAGTACACTTCAAACCTACTTAGCATCAATGGAAACTTAAGCGGAAGATTTGGATATACCTTGACAAAATTGTGCCTTTTTCATCTTCCAGCTTCTTCCCAATGTTCCCAGATATTTTAAGTGTTGATTTTTCGAAGCTAACGCTTGTACCCTTCATGATCTTTGATTGCTCAGCTGAATGCTTCTTCAAATCTACATGAGACAAAGTTAAATTCAGGATATACAAGGAATCTCTACAAAACAGATAATACAAGAATTTGAGCTAAACCTTTTTATTAATTTCATAATTTTATCTTTAAATCTAGACCAAAAAAACAATGCGTGCAGATTCTCTCTGCTATCATCAGAACAGAGTCAATTGCAATTGGGAAGAGCTGGTCCATCAATTTCAATTCACGAACTTGAAAGCGAAAATCAATCACACCCAATATAGCAAACCAAGAAAGCAAAAATACTAACCGTTCTGGGAATCGGAAGCTTCAATTGGCCTTCCGAGCAATTCAGATTCTCTTGCACTTGTGTGTTTTACCTGCACTTGGACCTCGTCATCGTCAATGTCCATATCGGAATCAGACATCTCGAAGCTTCTCTTATCACGTTTTCCGGCGAGACAGTGGTGAATTATTGCGGCGTTGATCGGGAAACCAAGCTCAGGCGAGTCTCGCGAGTCCTGATCCCCGAGAATACGTTTGGTAGCAACTAGCGAGACCACCATTGATACAATAATATATGTCACTCTTTTATTTGATGGGCCTTCATAGTTATAAGGCCCATATTAATTCCTAAACACACGTAACTTTCCTAATTATAAGGCCCATGTCAATATATCGTAACTGGCTCAACCAAAAGAGAACCGAACCAAAACCGTGGGAAACGTGAAGCGTAGTGGCACGCTATATACAGTAGCACGTTAGTTCCATCATTGTCACTGATATAACCAAATCCTCCGGCACTTTGAGATTCAGTGAAAAGAAAACCCTAATAATCCTTCTTCCGCCGCCGGCTAGTTTTCATGGCGGAACAATCTTCGGAAATCCCCGAAACTCTGTCGTCGAAAATGGAGGCTGTTTCCATCGCATCAACTCAGGCATCTTCTTCTTCTGCTGGATTACAGTGAGTTTTCTTCTTCTTCTTTTGTGTTTTAAGTCTCATCAATTTCGATCTTCGATTATAATGGATTGGATTGAGTTGATTTCTCAAGGAGTGATAGATATTGTAGTGAAAGAATGGGGATTTTCCCTTTTTTATTCCGGGTATAAAGCAATTTAGGAAAAAAATAAGATGGAGAAAAGACGTGGATTTTAAATCTTTGAAATTCTACAGTTTTGAAGTGTTGCATTTTGGTCTGCTTATTGGTTCCAGGATAAGCGAAGATGTGGAGAAGAGATACCAGATTGTTAGGAGCATCGGTGAGGAATGCATTCAGGAGGAAGAGCTTAAGAATCTTCTTGCTAAGAAAGCTGCTCCGATTTGCTACGACGGGTTTGAACCATCTGGAAGGATGCACATTGCTCAGGTCAGTTATCTTTTGTCTGATACGCACTTTTCGATTCATGTGAGCTATATTATTGCTGATCCACCATGATACCCACATTCATTCAAGTTTATTCGATCAATGATTCCTCTCGTCCTAGAAATTGTGAGAAGCTTCTGTTGAATCTGTTTCGTTCTGCTGTTTTCTAATAGGGAGTGATGAAGGTCATCAATGTGAACAAATTGACTTCAGCTGGTTGCCGAGTCAAGATTTGGATTGCTGATTGGTTTGCTCAGTTGAACAACAAAATGGGTGGTGACTTGAAGAAAATCAAAGTGGTTGGAGAATACTTCCAAGAGATTTGGAAGGCTGCTGGGATGAACAATGACAAAGTTGAGTTTTTGTGGTCGTCCGATGAAATTAATGCCAGGGCAGACAAGTACTGGCCTCTTGTGATGGACATTGCTCGCAAAAACAAGCTCCCTAGAATCTTAAGGTTACTTTTTTAGTCTTCCCCATGCTTGGGCCATTGCGTTTATGTGAGGGAAATGATGGGACCTGAATGAGTCTGTTACTTGTCCTTGCAGGTGTGTGCAGATTATGGGACGTAGTGAGACCGATGAACTGAGTGCTGCCCAGATCCTTTACCCATGCATGCAATGTGCAGATATTTTCTTCCTCGAGGTACTTTCATATGTAGTTTGGATGTAGTTTTCTTTAGTCAAGGCTTCTCTTCCTCATGAAACTGTCTTTGAATTCTGTTGCTAGTTAGCTGGAATTGAGTATTTAGCTTTACCTCCGTAGATAGCATAGTACTTTGTTGAAAATACCATATATGATTGGCATATTCTGTTGATGTAAATGGTTGATTTGTACTCAGTGTTATGCTACATTATGTGTATCTGGCTTGTGAATGCTTTTAAAACATTTTTTGTTTCATCTGTAGGCTGATATTTGCCAGCTTGGGATGGATCAAAGAAAAGTAAACGTGCTAGCGAGAGAATACTGTGATGACATAAAGAGGAAAAACAAACCAATAATCTTGTCGCACCGTATGCCCTACATTTTTCTATTTGACTCATGTTACACCATGTATTTCCTGGTCTAGCGTTGATTATCATCTTTTATCTGTAACTGCTTGCAGATATGCTTCCTGGACTCCAACAAGGACAGGAAAAGATGTCCAAAAGTGATCCATTATCTGCCATCTTTATGGAAGATGAGGAGGTAAAAGTAACTTAGCCAATTTTCAAAGTTTACGAAAGGAAAGAATACTCTTTACAGTTGTTGACTTGTTTTTAAATGGACTTGTTGTCATCAGGCTGAAGTTAATGTGAAGATCAAGAAAGCTTACTGTCCTCCGAAAATTGTGCAAGGGAATCCATGCCTTGAATACATCAGATACATCGTTCTACCGTGGTTTGATGAGTTCACAGTTGAGCGAAATGAAGAGTATGGTGGTAACAAGTGAGTCTTTGCCATTATTTTTTCTAACTTTCTGAATTGCTTGCTCAGTGTCTGAATTTTAAACCCGATTTAGATCGCTGTAACTTCTATTTCCTCATTACATGTCACTAGGATGGTGAAATTAATCTTGCTGTGAAAATTCTTGCAAATGTTAGGACATTCAAAAACTTTGAAGAGATTGCTGCTGAATATGAGAGCGGCGAATTGCACCCTGGGGATTTGAAGAAAGGCTTGATGAACGCGTTGAATAAGATCTTGCAAGTAAGTAAAACTTCCTTATTTTACAAGCTTCACGAGTCCCTAGTGAAGAATTTAGCAAAAAAGAAACTGAAACAATTATGAAGTTTGAATTCGTTGATTCAACAACAAAATTCATATTACCTCCCTTTCCCAATATTGCAGCCTGTTCGTGATCATTTCAAAACAGATGAGCGCGCCAAGAATCTGCTCAGACAGATCAAGGTAATAAAAACGTATTATGTTTCCGGGTTTGTTTGTTAATTATATACATAAGAATCTCTCACTCCTTTGGGTTTTGTTTTGTGCAGGCTTACAAAGTCACCAAATAAATTACAGACCAAGAAGCTTACGTGTGTCATTCTTTCAGCAAAACATATCTCGAATTTTATGAAACTTGTATGTGTACTTTTTATTGGGTATTATTATCAGATACTTCTAGTTGCTCTCTCCAATTTTGGAGGTCAATAAACTGCATACTTTTGAAATTACGTAAATTAGAAATCAGTATAATCTCGTATTGATACCGTATGAAATTATTTGTGGAATATATGGAAGAAATAAAATGTCTGTATTTTGAAAGAAAACGTACTTTCTGAAACACTACAATATACAAATATACCGATAAAAATGAGTTGACAAAAAAAATACCAATAAAAATATATGTAAGCCCACATAACACGGGCTCATATAAATGGGCCCATTTGATTCTAAAGAAATGTATTCCCTTTTCCTTTGACGTGGCTACCTCAAATGGCTCCAGTTTCGATTTTTTTTTTTTGGCAAGAAAAAAGATAAGAAAAATTGTAAATTCCACGAAAAAGAATCTCAAAAGTCTCATAAGTCTTGTTATCTAGGGCTTTCTTCTAGAGATCGACAAATTCACAGCCAAAGCAGAGAGCAGATTCTCCATTGATTTTGTTTGTTCGCGATTCTTCAGTCTCAATGGCGTCAAACTCTAGCGACAATTCTCAGCAAAGACCCAGGCAGAGAAACGGACCTCCTCCGCCGCGGAGACAGGGGAGAAATCCGCCGCGTACCCAGTATCAGCCACAACAGCAGACGACGCAGGGCGTGCAGGAGAAGAGGAAACCTGTGTTCGTCAAGGTGGATCAGTTGTCACCAGGCACGAGCGGCCACACTTTGACCGTTAAAGTCGTCGATCAGAATTCCGTTCCTCAGAAGCCAGGCGCTGCCTCTTCTCATCTCCGTCCTGCTCGGATCTCCGAGTGTCTCGTCGGCGACGAGACTGCTTGCATCCTCTTTACCGCTCGCAACGACCAAGGTGAGATAATCCGATTCTTCTCTTCCGAATTCCTGAACATTTCTGTTTTTGAAATTACCTCTATAAACCTTCAACGATCCTTGTGCAATTTCAGTCTGCTCGGATTTGTCTTTTTATCTCAGATAAATCACTAATGGGCAAATGTGAATCAAAATTTAGTGGCGCACCAAATTTGTTCGTAGGCAAATATTCTTGATGCTTGTAAATCGTTATCTTAGTATCAAAACATAAACAATGTTCTATTTTCTTGAAGGATTCCGAGTAACATTGTAGCAGCTATTGTGTTAAGAACTCAAATGTCGGATATTATAGGCTTTTCTCTTGGAACCCGCTTTAATATTACTTATAAGTCTTTGCTAGAGTGTGAGATTTTGTTGATTAAAGACAATCTCTAGGAGTGGTATTCAATTGGTTATTCAAAGTATACAGTGATGGTGGTGCTAATTCAAGTCTTTCTTGCTTTTTTTTCTTATATCTTCTGGATCCAGTGGACTTGATGAAACCAGGAACTACTGTGAATCTGAGGAATGCAAAGATAGATATGTTTAAGGGATCAATGAGGCTTGCTGTTGACAAATGGGGTCGCATAGAGGTCATCGAACCGGCTGACATAACTGTTAAAGAGGATAACAATCTGTCCCTTGTGGAGTACGAGCTCGTCAATGTCGATGAGTAAATGATATCTAACGCCATGTCTAATAGGGTTTTTATTACAAGCGCCACAATGAATTTTGTTTTGCGGTCTGTACTGGAGCCAAATGAAGAAGGGGACGGGAAAATTATGTTTATCTTATGAATGATGTTGCAAGTTTGCTATTTATCTACCGGTAGATTTATGTTGATCTCTGGTTTTGGTGCACGATATATTATCTCGGTGTGTACTCTTTAAGTTGTGGATGCTTTTTTGTAACCTCTGCTATTGTATGGTCCCTTGAACAGAGAGGTTAATGAAAAAAACTTGGTAAAGAGTATTGTCTTTACATTTTTGTCTTGCCATTGATCAAAATACGATAGCCAATTGCGACTTCAAGTTTCTATATTTTGAATGTGAAAGAACCCCTAAAACGGAAGCTCGAATTGGGTCTGTTTTTGTACTTATATCCGGAACTGACATGGCAACTAATCCTAGTGGACAATCGTGAAGGTGTTAAAAGCAGATCTTATGACCTAAGAAGAAACATGACTCGATTACTGTCACTTAAGATTCTTTACATAGTTCAAACAAAAAACTTCACTTCATTATTCATCTGCATCCATTCCGGCACTCTCCATTTGAAATTCATCATGCATCATCATTGCAATCTGAGGAAATAGAACATATCAGTATCCAGAGAACATAACCGCATGAGATTAGAGGGAGTAAAGAGTGTTCCAGGATTCATGAATGTTCCTAATGACAATCCATGTGAAACACTATCATAAGAAAAATCAAATCAATTGTAATCAATAATTTTTTCTCATAGAAGATGATAGCATTCAGGACGCTACAGAGATAATAGGCACATCAAATTTTCCCTTTGTAATTTTAAGACGTAACTCCAAGAAGAACCACATGATAAATAGCTTACATCACTCTTGTAGATTTTCCTTCAGTTATCATCTTTCCCTATAAAGGAAAAAAGAAATCGAGATTTCTCAATGTATGCAAGACATTTGATACTTGGCTAAAAGATTTGTCAAATTATGCCATATATAAGGATGTGAATTCACTATTCATTCTCCTCGTCTAACCAAATACTCAAGCAGCAAGATTAAGAAAGTAGATGGAAATTACATAGGAGACACCAAAACAAGAGAAAGCCTAACAGAACTACCAATCAACAGTGCTCAATGTATGATCTGCAATGATATGATGGATAAACAGGAAGAACACAAAACAATGCAACAAATTGAAGAGCACGGTTATGTATCAGAACAATTACCTCCGAGTGTCCAAACGGAGCGGGGTGAAACTGAAAGCATGGAATTGAGCAAAGCAGATGCAGTGGCCGTGTGGTACGGAAGCATCGTCTCGACGCAGCAGCTCAATGCCACCGGAGATCTTTTTCCATTTTCTCAGAAATGGAGAATCAGAATCAGCTAGGCTTAATCGATGTTTCGGAATCGCATGGAGAAGAAAAGGTTTCAGTGCGTTTTACCTGAAAACGCGGTGAGAGAGAGGGCTCTGTTTAGGCATCCTAAACGAAGACCGCGCAGAAGCTGGGGCCGGATTTGTCGACCTCAACGCGGAAGCGGCAGCTCGGCCGGCACCGGAGCGGAGGAAGGATCTCGCGGCGGACATTGAGAGTTTCGATTTTCGGAAGAGGAAGAAAAAAAATTTAGTGTTCTTTTGTGCAGTAGGGCTTTGACTTTTGAGTTTTTGACTAGAGGTAAAAAAGGGTTAATAGAAAACAATTTTACTGGCCTACACAGCATTTCATAAATTAGCTACTTGCTCCTCCTAGGCGCTAAGCAAATGGTAAACGATTTTTCTTACAGTGATATGTTGATGGTTTTTTCGGTATGTCAAACATTTTTTGTTGGGCCGACACAGCCCAATCCATTACCATTCTACTGTGGTGGTCTCTTAACAAAGCAAAGCAAAGAAGGTACAGAGAAAGATGATGAATGAGAATATTATAAAAACTGAAAAGATATTGGTTAATAGCTTAATACTATTCTTATATTAAGTTATGTTTAGATTATTTGTAGAATTTAATTTTCTATATATAAATTAAAAAGAAAATTGAACCAAACATTAGAAATTTAGCACCATAAGTTTTTTATTTTATTCTTCCAAATTATATATATATGCAAACGATTTAGAGTTTGACTGAATAAAGCATCATAACTTACTTTTAAAAATACACTCGAAACTATATAAGCAAAGGCTTAATGTTTGTTTTCGGAAGGAAGGACAATAGCTGCATGTGCCCATGCTTATGGAGTGAACTGGTAGTCTCCTTGCTCTGCCCCAAACATTTCCGACTGTTGGTTCATCATGTTTTTGGAACTGTATGGATTCTTGAAGCTCGAGTCCTTCTCATTGTACACGGTGGGGTTGTAGTTGTACTGATGCTTCTGGTAGAAACGGCCATGGTTTCTATCATCATCAAGGTCAAAGTAGTAATTACCATTCGCCATGAACCTCGTATCGCTCATCCCTTGTCTCTCCACGTTGTTTCTATAACCCTTGTACGCCTCCTTCCCTCTCTTCTCTTTCCCGTAACCATTGGAGTTTTCGTAGTAGCTCGTGTCCTTGTTGTTTTCGTCGTAACTCTCGGTCGTCCTAGGATAGTTCTCCCAATATTTCTTGTAAGATTCTTGGGTTTGGCTTAGGCTTGGGGTAGAGAAGGAGTCGTCGTAGCTAACGTTCTCATCATTCTTCAACTGATCTTCATTGTTGTTGTAGGTTGTCTCGTGACCGTACAAGCCGTACCCGTTTTCGGACTCGGGGATAAAGGTAGGGTTCTGGTTGTCTTGTCCGTTCTTCTCGTTGGTTTGGATAGGGACAAGATTGTTAGGGTTTTTGTCTGTGGGGTTTTCTCTCTGGAACTTGCCAAAGGAGTAGCTGTCTCTTGCATTGATTCGAATGGAGAAAAGAAGAAGTGTTAAGACGAAGAAAAAGAGTCCGGATCTATTGGAAAAAGCCATGGTGATGTGCGTGTTGTGGAACTGTGAGAGAAAGTGGGAGTGTTTATATATAGGAAAAGGTACATTAGCTGGTGTTTTAAAAAAAAAATTAACTCCTTAATTAATATATAAAATGGTTGGGTAATAATAAGGAGTGAATTGGTGATGATGGTTGTGCTTGGGGCTCCATAGGGATGAGATGCTTTTCAAAGAGGTAGCTCGACTTTTTGTGCCTATTTGGTTATTTTATCAGAAAAACCGTTAATTATATGAAATATTGATTTCTAATATTGTGAGATGAAACATATGTATATTTTTGTGTGTGTAGGTTTGTTACTTAAAACACTTATGGATAGTGAATAAGATCACCATGCTTTAAAAGAATATGGGGCTGGAGACAATAGGGCCTAGTGACTAGGCTGATTATTTAACACTGTGATATATTAGGAAAATGTATATAATTCACTTGGGAACAACATACAAAATCTACATCAGAAAGAAATAAAAATACTAATAATACGAGAAAAGTTTCTTGAAACAATATATCTGGAAATGTTACGATGGCTTTCGAGGGAATTAATTAGCGTATGATATGAGAAGTTTACTATAGTTTTAGAATGTGATGATTAGGGGATGAACATATTAAAACAGGTTCTGTCGTATACAAGGGAACGTACTAAAAAGTAAAAACGACAATGCAATCTTGTAGTAGTTTTCTTTTTTACGTCCTTCCAGTTTTGCGCGCAATCATGGAGATTTTAAAGTATCAAGTGCTTAATCCGAAGGTAATGATCACGGTGTGAGCCAGAGCCGTCGTACTTTCTCTCGGTTTAGCTTAAGTATTAGTGTTTGTTACTTTATTTTCACGCATTGAAAAATTGAAAATCGTATTGCTTATTTTTTTGTGGAATTAAAATGCGGTAGTAACTACACGTCTGAAGAAGAAAATTAGCTGATTTAATGAACAATAAAAGGAAAATTAGTTGACAAAAAAAAACGGGTGAAAATGGAAATTCTATGGCCGAGTAATAATGGGAGGCAAGAGATTTCGAGGGTAGCCACTAACTATTCTGGCCACCGAATGCTTGTGTTTGATGATTAGGGTCACAATTTGTTGCACGTCTACATCCAGTAAACTACAATTAAAGAGCACAAACAAATAAATAAATTCCAGTTGCACATCCACATCCAAAATCATAAAACATCAAAATCCATGAGTGCAAATAAATCAGTCGTTTACTTGTATTAGAAAATATAATCCGCCCTATATTTTGTCCATAGGAAAAGGTTTGTTTGTCAAATTTTCTTTTTCATTTATGTGTACCAAATTTGAGAAACAAATGGTCTTTCTGTAACAAATAGCAAAGAAAGAAACTAGTGGTCTGGCTCTCATGTTAACATTGAGTGATGGTCTCTATAAATAAGCGAACATACTTTCGTAAATCTTCAATTTTTACCCAATATAAACAAATGCTTTAAATATTTTAAGCAACATTTGACCTGTGTGAGTATGGGAGAGTTGGTACTTCTTCCTTCCTTTCAGACAATTAATATATTAAGATAGATCTCAACTGCCGAAAAAAAACTAACAAACATATCCATAACTTTTTTTTGGAAAAATAAATAAATTAGTTAAATAGAAAGAAATAGGGGAAGAAACGAAGATCTCGTTATGAATCGGACCATAAAACAATTAAAAGCATAAGGTTGATTATCTACATTTGTTAAATTTGTCAAAGTAGTAGGAGTGATATTTAAAGCATGACTTGCGGTTGGAACTAACTAATGAAGATCGGTGGATTTAAGAGATAATGAATGATAAGAAGCGACCCAAAAGGAAAAAGCAATACTTAATCCTCGCAACAAAACAAGAATTGATACATCCATCAAACTCCTGCTCATTTTGATGAGGAAATGAGCAAACTTCATACATGAAAGAAGAGGAAACGTCATACTCTTTCTCATTTTGTGAGGAGGTCATCACTGCCATAATTATAACGAAATAGAAAAAACCAGGAAACTAATTCTCAAAATGAGACGTAGATAAGCAGACCACTCTGAGTGATCCTTTAACATTTTCAAAAATTTGGTACAGTTTTTTTTAATTTACACACAATCGAATTAAAATCTTTGTCAAAACACATATTATATATGATATATCAAAAAAGTGCTTCCAAGAGGCATCAACTCAAAACCTTTTAATCCAAGAAATCTGAGTAATTTTGGTAATTTAAGATCCATCTGAACCCACAAAGAGGCCACGACTCATGCCAAGAGCCGTCTATTTGGCAATGCAAGCCAACTCGGAGCTCCTTTTGCGTCTTATGATCCGTGACATCCATATTATACATTAATGCTACTCCTTTCGTTTCACAAAGAGTGTCGTTTTAAGGTTTTATTTTTGTTTCACAAAAAGTGTCGTTTTATATTTTCAATGCAAAATTTTAAACAATATTTCAGTTTTGACCCTATTAATTTAATGTATTAATTAGAGAAAAAAATTATTTAATACATTAATAAAAGGTAAAGTAGTATTTTTAATAGTTTTCTTAATAAGTATAAAAAATGTACAAGTTCTTAAATTATTTGTGACATTATTTGTTTAGTTTGAAACGGGGAGTATTAGTTTAGTTTGATTTTCTTAAATTTTTTTGTCCAATCAAAGTACAAGTTCATGACCACATTACAAAACATAAGTGATTTCAACTCGTTCAAGAAATTTGAAGTATGTACACAAAAACCGAACCTTGATGGATTTTTTTTTAAAAAAAAATATTGCTTAAAGATCAGTTTATACAGAATCACAGAGAAGATCCATCGATTTACTCAGGAATAGGATCCCATAACAAGAGAGTAAACAGAAGCAGATTCGGAGCTACAAGAGTAATCAAAGGATTCACTTCGCTGACCAATTTCTTCCTCCTCAGCCTCTTCCTCACATACTCTCTCCTCTCCTCTCTCCCCCATTTTCCTTCCTCCACTCCGGCCGCCATAATCGCCGGCGGTGGCTGAAAATACGGGCAATTCGATCTCCATGATGTATCAGGATGCCCCAATCTCGATGCCCTTTTGAGGAATTGAGAGAACCACCATCGACGGAGATGTGATTGACATAGGATCGGAGGGTAATCCCACGAGCTGTAACATGGGATTAGGTTTCCGATGAAGAATTGAGAGTGAAGTGATGGTTCCGTTGTTGGGTTTGTGAGGATGTGAGTCACGGCTTGTAATCTCTCTTCCCATGTCGTCTCTTCCATTGTCTCTTCTCTAGTGACTCTGTTCGGTTGGATTAGAATCGAGAGGCTCAGAGAGACAGAGATGTTGTTGTTGTCGGACTCCTTCCGGTTTAAATTGGTACTTCGAACCAGAAATAACCGGAATAAAGTGGATAATAAACCGAGTTTTGGTGTTTGTTCTTGGATTTCTTGGATTACTTAGACTACAAGCCAGAAAGGCAGCAACTTTGATCAGATCGAATACTTTTTTTGTAATTTCAACCTCATAAAAAAACCAATCTTGCAACGAAGCGACCAAGTTTACAAAAGTCATCGACTTGTGACATCCCAAAGTTAGCAAGTCATCATCATAATGATAATAAATCAACTAGTAAGAACTTACTTGAGCCACAAGAAAACAAACAAACAGAACAGAAACCAAAAGGACCCTAGAGAGCAATGTCTAGCAACATGTCTCTCATGCCATACATGTCCCTTCCCTGCGAATGAAGATGATTGCTTTGAACACCAGAAACACCTTTCATGGAATGACCATTTAACCCTTCAACACACGGGACAACCGTCGCAGGTGCAACCGTCGTGGTCTCATCGGTTAACGGGAAACCAAACAGCCTGCACCTGCCAGAACCTCCGTGATGATCTTCTAGATGCCCGTTTGGACCGCTAGAGTTGGTTATCAAGACGGAAGAGGGTGATGACGACACGTGGACTGAAGTTGGCGGGAGGATACGGGTACTAAAGTTCTGGAACGGACCACACCAAATGTTCCTCTGGCTTAACCCCTGTTGCCGATGATGATCGGTCATTGAGTAAGCGGGAACTGTTTCTTGACCTTGCAAGACCTTATGGAACCCATAAGAGTCACCAAAGTCCGTTCCTTTGAACCGGCCTCTCCTGGCACCAGCACCACCATCCGAAGAGGTGTTGATGAAACCCGGAAAAATTTCTTGACCTTGCAAGACCCTCTGGAATCTCAATGATTCCTCAAAGTCTGTGGCGCGAATCCCCTCTGAAACAGAAGCAGAAACCAAATGTTTCAAACGTTAAAGAAGAGGCGAGGAAGGATTATATAAGCGGTTCTGGCGAGTAGATGTGTATTACCAGAGACAGGAATGTCAGGCTTTCCGGAGGAAAAGCCAATCCTGCTTCTCTTGGGACCAGTTGTTACGAAGCTGCCTGAATTAGATATTGAGCCAGACGGTTCGATCTCCCATGGTGAGACGCGCTGTTGATGCCCATTAGCCTCAATGTCGTCCCACCTAACCTGAATATGATGTCAAAACACAGTATGAGCAGCGAGCTTATGGATAGAACAAAAAATTAATCTTATAGGCGACCTCTGAAACCAAACTAGTGACTTGTTAAAAGATTACAATTCATAGCTTACCAAAAGGCATCTCCATTTGGAACCAGGCCACCTGATAGGATCCAAGTCGCTGATTCCAGTTATAATCCCAGGGGATCTGACAAAACAGGCGAAATTGTTTTTTTTTTTAACAAAGATGGGTAAACAAAACTCAAGTGTTGCCAAGTTCTCTTAAAGCTTGAGCTATAACCTTCTCTCAGAGGCATCTTCAGACTCAACCCTCGCTTTAAACCTCATACCGATACAAAATGGATAGTCAACAATCTTCAAGAACTTGGATGCAGGGATTATGAAGTTTGACCAGCTTGCCCTGAAAAGATTTTACCAATTGTAATTCCAGTTACACTAGTTGATATGCAAACTACATGCCATTAATTGCTTTTAACTAACAACACCATATACTTCTGAGACTTGGATTGAAATAACTCCCACGAAACAATCAACAGGAACAATACACAACTAAGGCCTCGGGAGATACCGATTGTGGTTTCGAAAACGAACATCTGTTATGGTTTTTTGGAGCTTACTTGGGGTTGTAGTAAATGCTGAAAACGCTATTGGTCGATATGGCATGAGCTACTTCAGCGAAATTGTTGTGGTTCATGTTCTGATTATACTGAGTCGAGAAAGCAGAAGCACCTTCAATTTGAGAAGCTCTTCTAACTCCCAGTCGCAGTTTGCCATCATCTCCTCTGAATCAAAGAAAACCATATCACAAATCCTCTAACAGGAAACCAAAGAGGTATTTTTGTAGGGAGAAAACAGTCAAGAGTTTTGTTACTACCTGAGGAAAAGTACAGCATCTCCAGAGACAAGCTTCTTCTTGTTCACAAACGCACTCCAGCCGGTAGTGAGCAAATGCCTCCTAGGTTGTCCTAAAAGTCACTCAAAACAAAACAAATTTTGTCATCTACTGTCTTCTCAAGGCAAGCGAAAGCAACATAAGGCAACTGATTTACCTCGATAAATGTGGCGAAATCGCCACTCCAGGCCATGAAGATCCCTGGCAAGAAGCTCCTGAGAAGGCCGGGGCTGGCTATAGTCCTACATAACAGAATGATTATGCAGTTAAATCTCTCACTATAAGCTTACAGAAGAACATGTAAAACCCTGAATGGTTTCAGATAAATAAAGAGCAATGTACATAAGTTATATAGATGAACCAAAAAATAGAGTAAGTACCAGAGGAGGGAAGCAATCCTCTGCTGCACGGCGAGGAACAGAAAAGCCTCCATGGGTGCTTGTATCAGAAGCTGTGAGGGTTTTGCAGAACATGTGAGGTGTATTTGACCTCTTAAGCACCTCATAATCTTCCTCTCCACCATCAACATCTATCATTCCCTCACGCACCTTCCGCTCAATGTCCTGTAACAATCAGCTCAATTCTTTGAGCTCGAGCAATGTTTGCTATTTTTCCAATACTAGAGCTATAGATAAAAACTCACCTCGGACTCAGGAAGAAGAGAGACTTGAGCATAAACTTCATCTGTAGCTGTCTCTGCCTACGAAAATGAAACCAAAAATGTTTTATTTCCAAGAACAAATTTGTAAAACAACAAACTAAAAAGTGAAGACAGCTTCAATTCTTACTCGAATGCTACGACAAACGGAGCAAAAGAGGAAACTTTTAGGAAATCAAATGCGAGAGTTTAAAATCTTCAGAAGAAATTCGTAAGCATCAAAAACCAAAATTGCAGACACTTATGGGAGATTACACACGTTCTTTGCCGACTGTCGACAAATGCCACAAGAAGAAATGCAAATGGAGCAAAAAGGGAAATTTTCCCTCAAAAAGAAACGAAAACGTTCTCCGAGATTTTCTCAGAGCAGAAGAGAAGAAATAAAACATAAATTCCTCTGTCTCAATACAATTCAATAACCCGGAGGCTCAAATCTCCACACTTGTATCGAAAACCCCAACTCAGATTCACCAAACAAAAAAAAATTCTTTTTTTTTCTCCCCCAAGAAAAAATCGAAGAATCAGAAACACACAAAAACCTTTTGAGAGGAAAACATAAATAATTAAAACGGGAAAGAAAAAAAATAAGAGATTTATAAAGACATACGTGAAGCTTGACATCGAGAATACGACAGAACACGTGAGGAGGTAGCCCGTAAATCGCGGCGGAGAAATCGGGGGCTTGTTCCAAATGTCCCTGAGGGAAATACAACACAAGGCTTCCTCTTTTCGGGAGAGAGATGAGGGGTCCAGCACAAGCGTGCCACAGCTCCAGACAAACACCAGACGAGCTTGAAGACGATGAAGACCCACTCACAGCAAACGCAGACGCAGACGCTGACGCTGATGAAGACGAGGATGGAGAGAGCGACCCAGAAGCCGAAGACGGCGTTTCGTCCTCCGTCTCCATCACGTTTAGATCGATTAAACCACCCATCAAGAGAGATAAAGATAAGAGTTTTAATATTATAAAAAGGAAAAATTTATATATTTCAGAGGAGTTTCTTCATGACTTGGAACTTTACCCTCTCAGAAAAGAGAAGAGAGAGCACAGTGATGAGTGAGTCTTAAAGCCGTAGAAAAAGAGTTTTCCATAAAAACCCAAGATTTTAATTTTCATTGTGAGAGAGAGAGAAAATGAAACAAAAAAAAGTTTTGATTTTTAATTTTATTTTACAATGTTAAGAAGAGGAGAGAGAGGATCAGAACAGAACAGTACTGAGTGCTCTGCACAGTGCCCTCTGCTACGTCTGGTGACTGATGTGTGTGGTGTGGCTTTTAGACCTTTTGTGCGTGGAGAGAGACATTAGATGGATTAGATTTTTGATAGATTGATTTCTTTTCTTTTTCTCTTTTTTTTATTATGATTTACACAACAGTTTCTTGCAATATTGATAATGTAATAATAGTAGTGGATATTACAGATGTACTTTATACGAGTGAGTTTGTTACAAAGATTATGGTATTTAATCATTATACAATAAGATCTGCAAGAATAATGACTTAACTAACGTTCTTTTAATGACTTCTCATTAAAAAAACACGAAAGTCTTATATTTCTTCTTTGTCGTATGTTTGAATTATTTTTTTTTATTGTGGAGAACGATTCAATAGTGGTGGCATACTTTTAGGGATTGATGCACATAAGTGATTAGTTTTAAATTATATACATATTATTAATTTATTAAAGATATATGGTTCAAGTGTTTTGTGTCTGTGGTGTAGATTTGGATTACCGTTATACTCTGAATATTTATATTTCGCTTGGTTATGGAGTACGATAGGATAATTGTTTGTAGTATAATATTTTCTTCTTTTTGAGGCTTTCGTAATTTTGTTTATAAGGGTTGTATTAAAAACAAGTTATGTACAAATAGTGTATTTGTGAACAATAATAAACTTCAAATTTTTAAGTTTCAATTGAAAACAAAAATAGAAACTAAGGCTCTGATTGGTAATCTGCGTAATGGCAGAATTACATTTTTAAACATATTTCCATAAAGTTTTTGCCAATTAACAAAAGTTTGTAGAATGAAAAAAATATACAAAATATGCAAACTGTATTTTTTCTTAAAAAAAATACAAAGAAAGATTATGTTTTCACTTAAAAAAATACAAAGAAAAATACATTCTTTAGAAAAACGATTTATAAATAAATTAATCTATTCATTTTTTTCTGTCATTCCACCATTCCACAAGATTACCAATCAAAACTTAAATTTTTGGAAACTGTGAACCACTTAGAGTTCATGGAGTTTCAGATTTGTCATGCAACTGAGTGAGGAGATCCGGTTGTGTATGACTTTATCAATATGCCGAACAAGCTGCGGCACAATGTTATAACCATTTTTGTGTATTCGAAATTTCTTTTCTTTTCGATAGAATACATCGTTGTCTAAAAAGTAAGACGAAGCAAATTTTAATTTTACTGCCTACATGTGTGTTTAAGTGATAGCTTGCACCGTATTTTCCTAATCCAGAATTAATCTATTATCAAGCATTAAGCTATACGCGAGTCAGACCAGACAGCAAAGGCGCAAGGTCAAGCAAAAATAAATGGTCTCAAATCTCATATATTTCTCCACTAAAGACCCACGACTGATGAAAACACTAAGTACCTAGTTGCGCTCTTGTGGAAAGGTGATTATGAAAAGCAAGCCACATAATGAAGCTGCATCACGAGAACCAGACCACCCGACTCCATGGTATCAAGTGCATGTGGATATATGTTGATGCTTGTGGGCGTAAGTGCATCCATTATAAATATTTTTATAGTGTACTTATCAATTATAGTTAAGTTACACAGAGTATGCACCCACCTTCACGTTATATCTCTATTATGAACCCATCATTAAAAATCCTTTGGATCGCTCCATATACCATCGATCTTCTACATAACATGCATACGAGATTTGACGGAATTTATATTGACAACTGTTGTTAGATTATCAACAATGAGTTTCATCAAAAACTGTGTACAAATGAAGTAACGGCAAGTGGAAGTTGTGAAGTGTTAACAATCATACATTAACTCCAGGCGTACTTGACATGTTTTTATTCATCTAATTATTTTTACAAGTCAATACAATTTCACAAGTTGTTTTGCCCTCAGTCAAAAGTTGTGTTTACACCAATGTGTTTTGAAGAAAAAAAAAATGCAATAAGATGTGGCGTCTACTTTTTGTAATTGTTAATTTAGAGCGACGACTAGCTCATAATATGAAGATAGTGAGGCGACGAAGAACAAGTTAAAGATTTTTTTTGGTAAAAACAAGTTAAAGATTTTTAGCAAGAAACTTTTAAACACTTACAAACGTATAAAAGATCTAAGAGAATTTGTCGAGATAATAAAGACTCATTTACCATAAACGGCAACCGAAACCACAACCAACAAAAAAGCCAATGAAGGAGACAACGACAAGGACGACGAAGTTGATGGCATCGAAGAGGATGAGGATTGTGTTCTATTGATTTGTCACTTTCTTAATTATGAATTATTATTTTTAAACATTTTTTTTAAATGCGTTATACATAAGAAATAAACAAACAATATATTTTGTATTTTTATCAATTATTTTTAACAAATTATTAAAAAATGAGCTCCAAATTTGCAATGGAAGTAAATTCCGTTATATTATCTTTATAGTGGTGATCACTGATCATATACATTCGTGAGCTAAATTTTTAATACATCAAAAGAAAAATCAAGGCAAAGCTCCATTAATAAGAAAACAAATACGAAGAGTTTGTTCATGAACCTGTTTTAATCGGCGACGTAAATTGGTCGATGCACAGGGAATCCAAATTTCTAAGTAAACTTACCTAATTCCATCGTAAGAAAAACAGGGAAATTATTGCGTATCTACAAAGTAGGGTCCCATAAATGGTAGGACATATCAAGAGAAACAAATGGTAGGGATCATATATGCTTTTGGTAAGATGAGGTTTCAAAAATTCTTATAAATATGTCGACCCAGATAAGGAACTAACCTAATCATACCACATTTTGAATTATATTAGATCTTAATACACATGCACTCAAAATAATTCTTGATTGCGTACAAATTCAAGATGGGTAAAACATAGGAAACCATTAACAAGATAAAATCTTGACAGTAGGTGGTTTAATTGGCATAATCCTAGAGCAGATTACTAATCAATGATTAGTTAGTTTTCATGATGCTAGTCACCATGTTCATTACCTTATTTTACTAAAATCTATCTTGCAAATCAAGTAATTGTACATATGACTCAATTCACGTTAAACTCTTAACTTTCGAAGGAGTGAAATTCATTAAATTTGAGTCAAATATTTTCACACGTACCTTTCACCCAAAAAAATAATATTAGATAAATAAGATCAAGCATAATCTACCATTATTAAAACGTACCCTATTGAAAAATCTTACAAGATTTGCCCATAATTATCATCAAGTTTGATCCTGATATAATCTATAAGACCCAACAATTAAACTAACAGATAATTGAATTTACGAAAACAAAAAGATAAGTAAAAAAACAAACATAATAAGAGACTTCGACCAAAAAACATAACTAAGAGATATAGATGGATTAAAAACTTCTCCACTTTCTCATCAGATTTTAAGAGACTATCTTTATAAAGAGAATAACAACATGGATCTTTATTTTAAAAAATAATTTAGATAAATAATTTATAAATTTTAAAATATTAAAAAAATTAATATAAAATTAATTAGAATCAACTTGTCTGAAATGAAAAAAATCAGGTTTAAATATTATCGCTAAATAATCAGCGAAAAATTCACCGATCCCTTTCATATGTCGATATTCATATAGTATCAGAGGTGGATGTAGTAAAAGAAGAATAGGGTCAAGTGCCCCCTACTCCTTTTTATTTTTTTCTTAAATATTTAGGTTAATTCAATCAAAATAAATTCAGTTTAGTGGTAAAAGAAAACTTTTGCCCCCCAACTATTTTTTTTCTTCTATTTATAAATTTATACCCTCAATTAATTTTTTTTCTAGATCTGCCACTGCATAGTATTAATAGTTGATCTCATTATTCATGTGCTAGTTTTGAAGTGTTTGATCGACTATTTGATGGTGTTTTGGTTATCACCTCATTCTCTTTCTAGTTCTTGTAGTATGTCTTTTATGCGCAAAAAAGACCTATGATAATTGAAATCACCGCCAAATGGTTTAATTTTCTAAAATTGGGAAGAACATATAACATGATCTATATGATGTTTCTACATGATTTGGCATTATCATTTTGTTTCTTTGCATTCAAATGGAGTTTTTCATCGCAACGATTCAAAACACCCAAAAGGCTACAAAAACACACAAACTCATAAAACAATGATTAAAATGAAACAGTAGCACTAAGCGGAAACAAAAAAAATGCTAAAAATGAACATATCATTACATTCGTATTAGGGAGTTTTTAATGTTAAAAATGGTTTGATCACCTAATTCTAGAACCTGGCTCATCTATTAAGAGCATGTACATCAGTGAACCCCTAAGAGGTTCACCAGAAAGGGGTTCATCAGAATATAATAATATTTTTTTTGGTTTTAGGTTTTTTTTTTAATTCGAAAATTATAATTTTTAACCAATCAGGATGCTTCATTTTGGGATGATACTGTCTCTTCAGGTTCGTCGGGATGATACTGTTTCTTTAATATTAAGATCTTTTACCTCAAAAACTGTGCCATGAACCTCTCTTGATCCCTTGATGTACATGCTCTAATACCTTTAAAGACGATAGTAGTATCTTTTTCTGGTTGAATTTTATTTACAGTCCATCTAATTAACACACATATCTAAAAAATTAGCTCTCATGAAAAATACCCAAATTTTTCATAAATACTTCCAAAAAATATTTGTTTTTTTTGGTTTTTTTGGGTATTTGGGTAGATTAATATTGCCTACAATGTAGCAAAGAATAGGGACAACTAAACCTGTAAAAGTACAGGTTAAAATACAACATGTAGGGGGTAGAAATGTAATTAAAAAATCTGTCAAAGGACGAATAGATGCAGAGAGGAGAAAAAAAGGAGAAGAGGGTCTTAAATTGCGAGTGTCATAAATTACAAAGAACCCGAGGATCAGGGGGGACTTTTTTTCTCTTTCTTTCTTTCTTTGTGTTCAATTTTTTTAAAATTGTTTTTTTGTAAAAATGTATTTTTGGTGAACACGCGAGAGAAGAGTCTACATCGATAGATACAGCAATAGAGAAGGCTATAGAGCCACACAAAGGGGGTTTAGATTGGGGCAGGACCCGGACAAAACGGGTTACAAATCCAAATACCCAATTGGTTAATGCCCCGACATCTGTTTCCTATCTTCTTTTGGAAAGTCTCGAGACTCTCCACGCTCTTTCCTTGCGCGTCCTCTCCACTCTCCCTTCTTTGACACTTGAGAGAGTTCTCCTTGTAACTCACTTTCTTTCTCTCTGCAAATTTTGCAGAAACTAACCCCACCATTCATTCAATGCTTCGGTTCGTCTTTTATTTATTCGAGGGCCTCCAAAACTCTATTTCCTCCTCTCCCAATATTTTCTTTTCTTTGTGACTGTGATTGATAAAACTATCAATAAGCTACTTTTTCTTCTTTTTTTTTCCTATTTTCTTTTAAAAACGGAAATTAACCACTTGCATTGCAACAAAAGAAAGAATGATGAATAAATGTCAAACACGATGTTTAATTGTACAAAAAAATTTCAAAACGAATAACAAATTACAAAATTATCGTTGAAAGAAAAACAAATTATTATGTTAATTGTATTGTTATACACAGATTAATCAATTGTCTAGAGAAAAAGTAGTATTTCTTTCGAGTACTTTTTTTTGTTGTATTACTCATAATCAAAATATATTGATGATCTTTTACGTTTGGTGTGAATACCTAAATGTCTATAAAACCGATTTTTAGAACAGAGACTTTAACAAATACAAAATATAAATCTAAAATAACTATATCACAGTCATAGTAAGAAAAAGAACTAGATTTACTTTGTTAGTTAAAGTTTGCTGATTATAAAAAAAAAAATGTGAAGTCGAACTTCCGTGTTTAAAGGTTATGTAGAGGTGAAATGCTATTTGCACGAACTAATGCTATAATTAGAGTCCATAAATTGATAATACCATGGCTTGAAACGTAAGAAGATATTTATTGACTAGGTGAGACATAATAACAAATGACTTGACAACATAGAGCTAAAACTGTCCTTAGGCTTTTACATCACTATCTTCAGACGTCCCTCCCTTTTTAAAGAATTTAATTGCTATAACGTCACAAATAATAAACATACAATGATTTATGTCCGCGTGTATGCACGCGCTTCAAGAGAAAGTAAGGTTGAGTGATGGTTTTGTTTTTTTTTCTAAGAGAGTAAATGATTTTTATTAAGAAGAAACTTTTACTTTATTTTTTTTTGACTGATTACTATTTCGGGCCTTTAAACCCAGCTTTAATCAGTTGTGTCAGTGCTACCCACCGCACTAAGATTGATTCATAATTAGATGGTGCGTTTTCAATTTTAATGCAATATCTATTTATTTGTTTTATTTGTCTCATTAAACCAAACTTGCTTTTAGATAGTAAGCTTTTAGATCAAAAATGAAATTACAGAGAGTTTTTAATATCAAACTAGGTGAATATCCGCACATTTGTGCAGATTTTTATTTTCAATTTTTTCAATTTTTTTATTTTTTTCTAAAAATTAATATAATCATCAATTGTTATTTATTTACTTGTTAATATTTTATTCAAAAAAATTAAAAAATTAAATATTATTTAAAAATTAAGAGTTATATTAAAATTAATAAATATCATCAATATTTTTAATTAGTTATAACATAAAATTTTGTTTAACATTTACACAAATATTAACTAATAGTCAATTAATAAAAAAGTTAAATTAATAGAATCATCATTTCATTTGTTACTTATTAGTATTTTATTATAAATAATTTTAAAAAAAATAATTTAAAATATATATTGAATATTATTAAGTAATTTACAGTTATATAAAAATTAAATACATATCTATCAATATTTTTAATTAGTTATAACATAAATTTTTGTTTAACATTACTATAAATATTAATTAAGAGTCAATTAATAAAACAAACTTTTCATATTCTTTAAATGCTTAAAATTTAATATTAAATTTTTATTAATTAAAATTTAAGTGACATGTGTCAATTTCTCCAATGCTGATGTGTCAAGCATATAGAGAAAGTTGAACAACTTTTTTATATATAAGATTTATTTATAAAAGAAATTCCAGATTAAAACATTTTTTATCAGCCGTAAAAAAACATTGTACTGAGATAATATTATAAGGCTTTCTTAATTCATTAACCATAAACCCCATATAATATCATAAATATTACTTAATTTGTTGCTTCAAACATTAACTTTTTCAACGAGTCAAAAACACCATTTTTTCTTATTTTTATCTACCTTTCAGTAATATCGAAGTCCCTTGTAAGAAAAAAACTAGTTATGATTTATGAAATATATCGACTATATACAAATCTACAAATCAAAGAAATGTGATCGTATTGAATTCCTGCCATTAGTGCGACCATTAGCAGATACAGATAATACCAAACAAAATCTAATAGCGAAATTAAATCGTAGATATAAAAATGAATGGACATGTCCCAGTACATCCGTTCTGCCATAGGCTGAAAGTTTTATGGATCCCGATTGGTCAACGAAAAGAAAACACATTTTTCTGAAGAATACGATTTCTGATTTATGGAACTTTTGACCGTCGATACTAAGAAATTGACTTTAATGGTACTGAGTATAGGAAATAAAAATGCTACGTACATAGAAATACCATTTAGGCCAACTCATCAAAAGTTTCCTGTGTTTTTCATTTATATACAAAATATACTCAATATTTTCATTAGGTATTTTGTTCTCGACCGACATTTACAAAATACGTATGTAAATTGACTAGCTATATTTACAAGATACAATTTACTTTTGAGAGTTTCTCTATCAAAACAATAAAGTTAGACATCAAATGATGATTGGTGACAATATATGATTAAAGGAAAACTCGTGGCAAACAATCATACTGGGTTTAAACTTTTGGCAGATGAGCAAACGAATTTTTATTTTTGTTTGTTAATGATGCAGCCAGAGATTTTGCAGACTTGTGTTAGATGCTATGATGTAATCTTGGATAAATGAGCGTTGGATTTGTGTCAAGTGACGTTGTGGCCCACGCAGAGTCTAGTGGAAGTGGAACTCAATATGATATTTTTTTTTTACTCGAAATCTGAACTGGCCGCATGCAATCCTGGGTTCGCTTATATGCTTGTCTGTGCATGATAAATCTTGGATCTTAGCCTATAAGAATTGGGGAGGACAAACAATCCCTCGCTCAAACATCTTTTGTGATACATGAAGTCATTGTGGCCTTGTGGTTGTGGGTACATAATATATGTCTTGGTAATAGATATTATTAACTGCACGCAGAGCCGGTCTTAAGGTAAAGCGGCTAAAACCCTAACTTTGGGTGCCAAATTTAGTACAAATATTAGGGGCAGCAAATTTTATGAAAATTAGTTTATAATCTTTTTACCCAAAAAAAAAAAAAAAACTAACCCAGGTTCGAAGCTCCCCATGTATTTTTTTATGTAAATATTTTCTTCTTGCTTTGAACGTCAAATAGAATTGGGGCGGCCCTAACTGCACGAGACGAGATATTCTATATGATTTGTTATGGTTAAAAGAGTAATGGGAAAAATGTATGATGTTCGACCTGATGTTAAAAAAAAAGTATGAATTCGACTCAATGTATGTCGCTGTATTAGTGAATGAAAAGATCTCTTCATGGAGAGGAGGTTTACATGCTTTGCTTTCTTAGTTCCAAATTAAAGATTATGGACCAAAAAAGCATCTTTTGGTGTTCTTTTAAAAGAATGTAAACATTCCAGTAATTTTAATACCATGTGTTACGTACGAACACACATTTTCATGTAGACGCTTAAAAGAAAAATTATATGCGTTGAAAAGTACAATCTTACAAACGCAATTATCTATTCATATTTTGAGATGAAATGATACACATGCAAAAAACTTTGTTGCAAATTAAGTAGACATTAAATTACAAAGGGATTAAAAATGGTAAAAAGGCCACCATTTTTATACCGAAACTTCAGAATAAAAATTATAGTTAATAATCAATATAGCAACACGAAAAATCAAAATTCTGACGATTTTGAGTTATTGGATGGAAAATGATATAGATGATTTTTATACTGATTAATTTAAATATTTTTTAAATTAAACGGTAAAGAAAATAAAAGTAACTTTTATTAGTTACGAAAAGGAAAAAGATTTTTTTTCTATATAAATTTTTTGATTCGGTCAATACGAAGACTATACCTATAATATTAGTAAGTTCTAAATTTTATCATTAATCCGCGTATCTCATCGAACTACCCAGTGGCAGAGGGAACATGCTGTGAAGAGGGGCAATTAATCCAGGTAAAATTTAATTTTTTTTATAAAAATTTGTATTTTTATGTAAAAAATAAATATAATATTAATAATTTAAGTAAATAACCCCTATAAAATTTATTCAGAATACATTATAGATTAAAATTGACCCCGTAATTTGTTTTTCTAGCTCCGCCACTGGAACTACCTCGTATCCAACTTAACGTAAACATCATAATGTCGGCCTCTATTATGTTTGTAACTAATCCAATACAATATGGAATATTTCTCTCCAACTTTATTGTTTTCTCTTTTGCATATTTTTGACTCCTTTAAAATTTTACTTGTGATAATTTCAGAGTGGGATCTACCGGTATTATAAAGGTGAAGTAGGTAAAAGCAGGACATATATATTTTTTTTAGGTAGTCGGTCACGCTTGGTCTTTTTGATGATCTGATGGGCTTTACGGTAAACGGACTCTGAATTTTTGGGCCTGTGATTTCAATATATAACAAACCCTTCCCATTCACAGGTTCTAAACTAAAATAGTGAATCCTGTATTCAAATGACACAATATCAAAGTTTCCGTAACGTTTCCACTACATCCAAAGACATTCTTCCAAAAAAATGTGAAAAGGAAAAGCTCATTTATGCTAAGTGGAGCAGCAACCTGATTTCTTAACGGCTGAAACATCATCTCTACTTCCAACGCTAATCAGCTGCCCTTTAGGCAAAGCAGTGGCTGGATCGTCTCCAGCATCAAGAGCCTTCTTGCTAACGACTCTGTAAATCTGTGTGAGAACCTCTGTGAAAGCGTTTTCGACGTTTAAAGCTTCGAGTGCCGAAGTCTCCATGAAGAAAGTGTGCTCTCTCTCTGCAAAAGCTTTCACTTCTTCCATTGAGATGGCTCGAAGGTGGCATAGGTCAGCTTTGTTACCTACGAGCATAATCACAGTGTTTGCGTCCGTGTGGTCCCTTAGCTCCTTTAGCCATCTCTCAACGTTCTCGAATGTCACGTGCCGTGTCACGTCGTACACCAATAACGCACCAACGGCTCCCCGGTAATAAGCGCTCGTTATGGCTCGATACCTGATTGCATATGCTCGCTAAGATAAATGCAACGCATATTTGAGCAGTCCAGCAAAAAAAGTGGCTAGAAATTGTTATTATGGGTGGACAATCCTGTTTTGGTTTGGCTTGTTCGAGTTCTGGTTTTTTAGGTTTTAAAGAAACTAAAACCAACTTAGTATTGTAGCTCGGTTAGATGTAAATTTTGGTTTGGAAGTTTAGCTTGGTTTTTGAGAAACAATGATTTATGTTTTTTGAATATTTTTCTTCTCAATGACACAAAAGTATCTTAAGAATTTTAACTATACAATATCAACTTTTTTTTAATACTATAAATTTTACACAAAAATTGATTTATTAGGTTCAGTTACTGTAAAATGGTGTCGCTTTTAGATCATATTCAATCTGACTATATATATAGCTGTAAAATAATTTCGAATTTATTTAGATAATAAGCATTTGGATTTATATTTGGGGTTTGGTTTATGTATGTCCATTTTATAAGTGATTACCTTTCTTGGCCGGCAGTATCCCATATTTGAGCTTTGACAATCTTGTCGTCGACTTGGATACTTCGTGTGGCGAACTCGACGCCAATGGTCGAGCGTGAGTCGTGGCTGAAGTCATTTTTGGTGAATCGGGATAGTAGATTCGATTTTCCAACGCCAGAATCTCCTGTTAAGACAACCTTGAAGAGGTAGTCGTAATCGTCTTCTGCTTTATATGTTCCCATGTCTAGTCGATACCCGTTTGCCTTTATGACGTTCTTCTTGGACAATTTTATCCAACATATATTATTTGGCTGTTCAAATAACTTTGGATGTCAATGAAGAATCTGATCTCTACAAATGGGGTTTTGTTGTTTTTTTTTGTTTTTACCGCTTTCTAGATGGGGGAAGAGACCAATGTTTACAATGTTGGATTTGAGAAGAGACGGAGAGGATTCAGAGAATCAAGGGTTCTCCTCTGTTTTACTGGTCATATTAATTTTGGGATACTCTAAATATATATCTCACGATTAATCTCGCGCAAAGAATAGTATTCTTTTGTGTGATGGTCTTTGCTTAGGTTTTCTAGTTTAATTTTTCTCTAAAATGAGTCTTTTTAAATATGAACAACATGTATTTGCTAACAAGAAACAAAATTTTGACTAGCTAAACCGAAATCAACAATGAAAGTATTTACTAATTTCAATTTGCCATTTTGTATTTATTTATTGATCAGTTGATCTCCTGACTTGGTTCTTTTTTAAGGCATTGATTTTACACAAAACTAGATGACTACCCACGCAAATGCGTGGTTTTCTTTTAATTCTTATTTATTTAATGCATAAAACCTAAATTAAATTTAGATTTTTGGTTATTTTTGGATATTCATGTAGGAAAAATTAGTTTTTTATTTATTTCTTAAGGTGTTCTTGTTTTGGTTAGCGTTTTTATTGGTTTTTTTTGGATAATTTTTTTTTGGTTAGTTTTTTACATATTTTCTTAAGGTATTCTTATTTTTGTTGGCTTTTATATTGGCTTTTTTTTTTCAAAAAGCTTAATTAACTTTCCTTTACTAAAAACCGTTAATTTCTTCTTTTAAGACTATATCATCTTTTGTTTGGAACATCATAAACAAATTTGATATGAGAATCCATCAAATCTAGATATGTAATCTATATTTTCTTTTACTGGTATCAAAAGTAGTAAGATTCTTCTCATGATTATTCAAACACAAAAAAAATTGCGGCATCAAATAGTTCTTTAAATCAGAGTAGCTTACATGATCATTATACCACCCATCTTATGGTAGAGACTTCTTTTTCTGTTATGTGAATAAAATTCAACCTAGAACAAACCATTAGCGAATTTTTACTTTTTTGTAAAGCTTACTCAAGTTTACTAAATTCAGTGCGTGTTAATTATCTTTAATTTACCTAAACAAATGTTCCATTTTTTTCCGTGCTTGTTTCCAAGCTCGTTTACTTTGATTTCCATGCATGTATCGCATTCAATGATTTGTTATAGTGTTTTATTTAAACCATGTTAAGAAGATCATTGCATCATCAACATGGAAATATAACGCTAAGTCGCTAACCATTTGCCAATATAATTGATCCTTTTCCCTCCATAAAGCAAACCCCTATAAATTCCCTAATAACCAAAATATGAAAAGTCATAATAATTTTTTTTTTCTTTTTTTATGATCATAAAGTCAAAAGATGTTTAGTAACAAAACTTAAATTAGTAGCAAATTTCTCTTTTGAGAACCCAAATAAGCAAGATAAAAAAAGTTTATCAGTAATTCTCAGAGTAATTAATCATCTTTCATAAGTACATAGTCACCATAATTGAGAAATGTATGTAGTAAATTAACATTCAAACAGTAAAGTAAAAAAAAAAGGAGAGTTCTTGATCACAACAAGCTTGGAAGTCGTCTTGCTATTTACTATTTATAGAATTCTTGAACAAAATTCTTCTTCTCCTTTAAACGAACACAATTGAGTGTTATCGTTAATGTCTCTGACCGTAACCAAGAAATAAATCTAAAACTGTGGATCTATGGACAACGTTTATTGTTGTGGGCTCTTACATAGAAACCTGCATAAGATACAATTTAAAACTGTAGATTGGAGATTTATCAGAAAATTTTGAGTTATCTTAACTTTTTTCTTTTTTTTTTCTCTTTCATATATGCGTTGAAACATGTAGAAAAAAAATCTTCATATTAACAATGTTTGAAGCGTCATCATTAAGAATAGGAGACATCAAAAGCTGAAATTAAAAAGTCATCATAATAAATAATCAAGTTATAGGGAAAATGATTATGAAAATAATTAGTTTTAATTTAGTTTTTTAATAACAAATAAATGAGCTGATGTATCATAAAAATAAGTGCTGATGTGTCTGAGACTCAACTGAGTCTTTATATAATAGATTCCGCTTTTTTAAGTTTTCTTTTGATTTTGTCACTTATAAAAAGTGACACTATATTTGGTAATGTTGTTAATGTTCATACCAAAACACATTTAATGTTTTATTTTACCGGGAAAATTTGCAAAACAAAAAATACAGAATTTGAGGTGTAAAAAACAAATAAAAACTCAACAAATTTATAGATGTTTTTTTTAATATATATATATATATATATATATATATATATGTTACATGATTTGCTTTGAGTTTCGTTTGATCCAATTTGAGTTTCGGGTTAACCCGATATCGTGAGCCTCTAGGAGTCTAGTTAGATGGTTCTTGAAACCTAGTTTTTACGTCTATATCAACATTCTAAGTGTTTTGTTGCCCACGAGTGTACCTAAGGTCCAAGATCCGTGGTTCAAATCCTTCTTATCACGAGAAAGCCAGACAACATGACGAGCTCCCTTGACTCCAAGAATCATGGAAGAAGGCTTATCCGTCTGAATATAAAAGGGCTTTTTGGAGATTTTTTTTGCTAAATGATTTCTTGGAGATTGAAGTGTCAGGAATTAGCTAAAAAGACTTTGGTCGTTCTATGGACCTCTGGCGCACCGTTGTGGGTAGGTTCATGGAGAGTGGGACTTTTGGTGTGGGAAGGCTTCAGAGGAGACCTTTGATGAGGTCATCGAACACTCTAATGAGGATTCCAGTATTCCCACATTCCGACCAGGTCCCATGACTCGATCTAGAATCAGGAGCCTGCATGAAAAGATTAACTTAGCCGTATCAAATTTCATACAAGCGTCCGAGGAGGAACAAGTAGAAGACGCGGCCCAAACTTAACCGAACCAGCCACGGCCTTATGAGGAAACAGGTATGAAATCTCTCTTGACAGGTCCAGGAGCCGAGACCATCACAAAGCCCAGGGAGATCATCACTCAAGAGTCCAAGACAAGCAACATCAACCACTTAGCCAATAGCGATCAACTAGAGCTTGCACAAGAGACGCTAGCTGAGGAAGAGGCTGCCAAGGGAAGGATTCATGCACTTGAAACAAGCATCATCAACACTACCAAGGCCGCAGAAGACCACCTGAAGATCGCCCCAGCACACGTCAAGAACGGCTCACTTTTCCCATGGCCTCTTTTGCGTGCACAACAGGTAAGCCTTGTTTATGAGTTTTGTGCAGGAACAGACGACCAGCTCAGTGGTGATTAAGAGCCACGAGAGTCTATAGATACCTGAGATCAAGTCTCGGCCAAAGCTTAAGAGTTTATTTTCTTTTATTTCATTTAAGTAGAACTTTCCTTATTTGTGTCCAAATGAGACAACTCGCTGTTTACTTGTTTTCTTTGCCGATTTCTTTTGTTTCTTTTGCAAATCCTGTGGTTTTTGAGTCTTTTCTTTTCATTTGAGTCGAACCCTAGAAGGTTCAAGCTGATGGACTGTTTATAAAGTCCCCTTGCAGCTTTGTAGTTCGATACTTTTTTGCTTATCAATAAAATAACGTCGTTTTCTTTGAAGTTTTTGCTTGAGAAGAGTTGCTTGCCTTTGTGTGTGTGTGATTCCACCCAAAGGTTAGTGTCGCTGTATCAGAGAGCCCTCTATCCTCTCTGTGGTGCCATCGATCCACTCTCACTTCTCCTGATCCGATCCAACAAGAGAGAGCGAAGACCAGCTTGTTAGATCTCCATCGGTTCATTACGTGCCTCCACCCCGAGGTATACATCAACCTTCCCAGATAGTAGTGCACCTATGCACGTGTTATGTTTCGGATAAAATGGATTCATGAAAATGAGAAAACCATTCCAGACAGTATCTTATTCTTAGATGCTTTGAAAGCCACGCCTCTTTTAGATATATATCTTAGGGGGTTTAACTATGAAAATCCTTAAAAGAGAAAAGAACTAGCGACATATTTAATAAATACTTTATAAAGTTTTATATGGTAAGAAGGAAGTATTATTTATCTTTTGTTTTTTTATTTGTTAATAAATCCCTTATGAAGTTAAAAGAACCCCCCTCCCCACCCCCCCAAAAGAAAAAGAAAAGTGTAATTACTAGATTTTGTAACGTAGTGACTTTTACTACACATTGTATAATATCGTAACAAAATTCAAGACTGATTTTGAGGCCAACGAGGTGAAACCGTCGCACTAATACAAATGTTAAACGATATATATAAGTTAAAAAAAATTCTAGATATCAAAAAATCTATAAAATTAAAGGAAACTTACTTAAAAAAACTACTAATATACATTATGGATTAATAAAATGTGTATGGTTAACAAAACGTGTACGGTTAGGGATGGTTACCCTATAAAATAAAATAAAATCAAAAACACAAAATATAAGCTTTAGTTATATAGTACTCTTGTATATAATCGTTCAATAAATCCAGCTAACTAGTTTCTCAAATATACTGTTTGTTTTCAAAAGATATAGAGTAGCAAATTTGATTAAATCAAATTTTGATAAACGAATTTGTTGAAACAAACGCAAATTATTAGATGATGATTTCTTTTTGTGATACTTTAATGTTCGTGAAATAATATTTTAACATGGTTTTACGATTTGATTTCTATTTTTTTCAGACTAATAAGATATTTTAGCATTTTAGGATTGGCCTTGTCCATATTCATTCACAGAATTCCCATTATACCGTTTAAATGTATACTTTTTTTTTTTAATGTATACTATTAAAAACAGTAATTACTTCAAATGAAGGTCACCTCGTATTTATTACATTATAGTTTATGTTAAGAGTCTGCAAACTAATTTTATAAGAACAACCATTTGTTTAAACATAAAGAAATTCTCGCCTCTACGA